AAAAGAATTTTTAAAAAAAATTCAAATGAAAAATGACGTAAAAAGTTAAAAAAGAAACCTAACTTAAAAAATTTTTTGTAAAAAAGCAACTTTATTATTAACACTAACGCAAGTAAAACCTAAAGTATAATTATTTTGTTAAATCCATATATGAAAAAATTTGTTAGCAAATATGCTTCGCGCAGTTTTAACCTTCATCGCCTAAAAACATTTATGCTGCTAACTAATTTTCAAAAAATCTAAAAAGCGTATGTATCGTTAATGTAAATTCGAAGTGTTGGTTATTTAAAAACAAAGAATTATTTATTTATATTAATATCGTTCTATTTTTATAAAAAAGAATGATGGAACAGACAGAATGGGGTTGATCGGCAATAACAATTGTCGCTGATAGGTTAACGATTTGAGGAGGTCGGATTTCTGACTGGCCCTTCGCTAGCTGATTCAGTGACCCTTCTTCGTTGCCCTCCATCTCACAGGTCTAGTTTCTTGATATTCTTGAAATTTAAAGGTGATCCTGCATCGTTGAGGTATCAGCAAAGAAGCCTAGTTGCCAATAAGTTAACGATTTGAGAAGGTCGGTTCTCCGACTGACCCTTCGTTGGCTGATGTGGCGACCCTCTCTCGATGTTTTTATCTTAACTTTCAAGATCCAACCAAAACAATGAGCAGCCCAAACACGTAAATATTCAACACCAGCTACACTTCCAAATAAACTAAAAGATTTTTTTAAAAAAAATTTTAAAAGTGTTTATATCGTTAATTTAAATTCCAAGTATTGGTTGTTTAAAAACAAAGAATTATTTATTTTAATTAATAATATTCTATTTTTATAAAAAAGACTGATGAAAAAGACTGATGGAATAGACAGAGTAAGGCTGATCCCCGATGACACTTAGCACTGATAGGTTAACGATTTGAGGAGGATTGAGTTTTGATAATAAAATTTAAAAAAAGTGACTTCCGCGTCTTTAAACAATATATTAATTTGATTTTGGCGCCTATGTTTGGTTTATTTATTAGATTTTTGTATTATTTATTAGAATTTTTAAAAATACTTTTTCTTTACCTTTTACAATAACTACTACGCTGAGGATAGCCCATATAAATTCCTAATAGGCTAACCCGAGTGACTTAACCTAAGAAAAATGATTGCTCGCGTAACCTTTCTTTCATTACTTACCTTCCTTTTAAGAACCATCACGATTTAACATCAAAAAGGACATTGAGGAGAAGGGTTCGAAGACGACAAAATATTCAAGAGAGAATTGCAGCTAAGCGGAACTTAGAGGCATCTATAGATAGTGAGGGAACATTAGAAAAGGAGCAGAAAGTGGTCGAAGAACCACCAGTAAAAATAAATAAAGAAGATACAGAAGAAGTGGAAAATACATTAAGGTTCTTGGCCGATAATTTAGACGTTTTCACGAACAATATAATTGTAAAGTAAGGTACATTTAAATGATAAATATATACTTAAAAACATTAGTAACATAATTCCGAATCACCACCTATTGTAATACCAATGATTTCTTACCCCTATAACCCTTATCCCAACCGGAACACGTGACTTTATCCAGAATCTACGTGTAACCCAAACCCTAATTATCAATAATTATCACAACAATTATCATAAATATATTAAACATCTAAATCCCCCTTAGAACAACTGCTCTAAATATACCCACTAAGACATTGAATTACAGAGACAGCCAATTTCAATACTTGTCTCTAAAATAAAACCGATGACAATAACAAAAAATAATTCCCGCGGAAAATGATAGAAAAACTCACCTTGAGAATTACCTAACTCTTTTCGCGGAGACTAAAGAAGCTCTGACACGTAAATAGAACAATAGACCATTGAAAACTTACAACGATAGAACAATGGAATTTCTAAAAACAGAAGTTTTACATTTTTATGTGCACACGTTTCGTTCGTATCAGATATCTGCTAACAAGCGAAGAAAAAGCAACTTTGGCGTTCAGAAATATATTTTTTCACGTTTATTTAATAAAAAAATCTACATTAACGACAACACGAACAATGGCATCGAATAATTACATAAATATATACCCTACTACAACACCCAGCAACACGGTAAGAAAAACATTTCCTTTATCACATTTACATACTTAATAAGTCATACCATCACCACCCCACTATAATTTAGCGTTTACTTGAACATCACACGCCACTACAACTCACCATTGAAAGCACCCCATACTATTCTTACACATTATGCATATTTAGAATTTATTATAGAGTCCAAACACACCGGAAGACATATTCCTTACACAAGACGTGTTCCGAAATCAAGAAGTTCTCGCGACCGTAGATAAATTAGAATTAGAAATACTAAGGCACAGTACCACCCTGGAACCCGAAGACAAAAAAGAAGGAGACACAACACAAAAAGACGAAGAACTAAGTGACAGCCAAATGCTAGAAACGGTAGGTTTAGTTCAAACCTTTACACCAAAAACATCTTAAAAACTATTAATTATCCCCCTCATACCCAACCCCCTAGGGTCCGACTCCGTTATCTGAAAATTGTTGTGTTTATATATGTATGTACTTCATTTATGTATATCATTTGTGCGTGTTTGCATGCATATATGCATGCTTCTGTATATGCGGACATGTGGGGATGTATGTGTTTGCATGCATATATGCACACCCTACCCTGTTACCCTCCTAGTATGTATAGACCTCTGTTTTATACATGGTAGTGTTCATACAGATATATTTGTATGTGCATATACATGTGCACATACATTTATATTTGGATTCATACTCTTGCACCCAACCCCCTCTATTTCACTCTATTTCACTCCGTTACCTGATTTATCTGTTTTATGCATAGTTGTACTCACACAAGTATGTGTACTTGCGTGTGCATGTGTTTGCGTGTTTATATGCGCATATGCGTGTGCATGTATGTGGACGTGTGTTTATGCATTAGGTGTGTATACATGTATATGTAGAATTGTGTTCTTATATGGGTGTTTAGGCTGGTTTAGGCATACTTCTATGCCTAAACCAGCTCTCCCGTACCCAACCCCCTAAGATTCTAAATCAACTCTCACAGTATTATATAATTGCGTGAGAACATATTATAATGATCTACACTATTCTGTATGATCTTATAATGCTCGATACGCACACCAGATGAAATGGGAGACTCCTCGGGTATGAGTTCATCACATATCTAAACCTCACGTGGTAACTAAGCTGTAGGCCATGGAGTTGTTTTAGTACTTTAACTTCTTCGAAACAAGCTTAGACATTCCGACATGGCCCTGACGAGATGAAGGTTTGTCACATGCCACAACTTTCGACCATTATGATGACCTCAACCCCGAACTCCACTCGCGCAGCACCTTCCCCTCAACTTGTTTTACTTTTATACTACAATAATTTGTACTACTAATTTACTACTAATTTATTACCTCCAATTTACGATGGTAATCACTAAAGCTTTATAGCATACATACTATGCATATCGGATATATTATACACGATATATATAATATTCTAGATATACATAAGTCTCTCTATAAATAATATAAGAAACTTATTGGTTTACCTAACAAGCATCATACTGCCCCGAACCAACACCACTGAGCCAAACTGTGTTGCTATAATTGTACTGCACCCCGCACATAGTTCTTACAAAAATAGCAACAAACTCCACACTCTCATATGTTCTATCAACATATGTTAAAACATATCTTATAAAGTGCTTTTAACAAAGATTACGATCACAAAGAACATAATAACATCAAAATTAAATAAGACGGAAAATTAAAATATTTACGAAAATACAGATTCATACAAAGAAAGACATTAATTCACATATTAAACTTGAACATTTAGAACACCACAAACACAAAGCACAATAATTAACACAAACTTACAGAACACTGAAACAACACTTACTTAAACCTAACTTAAAGAACACTTACTTAACTCTAACTTAACTAGTGAATAATACTCCCCTCTTTAACACCACCTCTTAATACTGGACATCTGTCCAAATATTATAATTTATCTAGCACTCCCTTGCACTTATATAATATATTTCTTTCTTCTCTTAAGACTCTTACGGCCTGATGGTTCCATATCAGTGGTGGAACTTTAATAGCTTCCACTGCGAAACAATAGCAGATTTAATCCCTCTCCTGTCCCACTAGTGGGAACGGGATGCGGAACTTGGGCAACAACTTCTTCGGACAAATAACTTTATACACATCTTGCACTTTTTGTATCTTATTTTACACCATCTTTTTACACTCTTTCTCAACTTTCTAATTCAACTCTTTTATGAAAACCAGACTTACGTAAAACCCAAACGAAACTTATAACACAAAAGGAACCACTAAAATTACAAGATAGCTATGACACTTAATACTACTACGGGACACTAATAAGTACACCTAATACTACCACGAACACTAAACACCTTATACAAACATCTAAAACACTAATAACATTTAAAACTACCACCACGAACACGACACTAATAACACGATATTAGTAATGCCATTAATTACATATCTTTCACCTTAGCTCATATCACTGGCAGAAGGAAATCGTAACTTATACACAACTAGCAACAGCCATAGAAACTTCAAACCCCTCTCTTACAAAAAATTATTCATGTCACAATGGGCCGGAAAACTAAACGCAAACTACAACAAACAACTTAAAGAAAAGATTAACATCACTAGAACCAATATGCAAAACAAAACAATTACGAACATCTCAGGCACCCAATTAACAAAAAATGAACTTACTATACTAAATAAAGGACTTAAATTTATCTACTCCCCACAGGAACCTGACTTTGATCTATATACGAAACAAATAAAAAAATTTAAACGGCATATTTACTGTAAAATGTTTTTTAATAAACAAAACCCAACATCGCAAAACCCAACGAAAAAAGACCGCACGCTCAAACGACCCAACCCTAATTGGAACCCCCTTGCAGATAAAAACATGAAACTCAAAAGATACATGACCATAATAGACAGAGAGACGGAAAGAATCATGAAAGACCCAACCTACACAAATGCAAATAACACCACAATCAATGAAAGGAAAGCTCTGTATAAACTAAGAAGAAACAAATCCATAACAATCAAGAAGACAGATAAGGGCGGTGGTATATGCATATTAGATAAGAAAACATATGAAGAAAAAATTTTACAACTTTTGGAAGACAAAAACACATACGACGAACTACCAAACGACACAACAGAAATGGTAACAGACAAAATAATAAACGAAATTATTATGATGAGGAATGCACGAGCAATCCCCGAGAAAGTAGCCAACTTCATACTACCCAACACACCGAGTCGCACTCCCCTATTTTACGGACTACCCAAAATACACAAACAAGGAACACCACTACGACCGATAGTTTCTGGGTGCGATGGACCGACTGATAACCTCTCTGAATATGTGGTAAAGTACCTGCAACCTATGGCAGAAACACTTCCCGCATACTTCAGGGACACCACTCACTTGCTTAGATTACTATCTAACATCAACTCCCCCGAGAGCCCGATAACACTGATAACTGCCGACGTAACATCGCTATACACTAACATACCACACAATGACGGCATCCAAACTATCAAAAACTTTATAACCGAACATTTACATACCATCAAATTCCCTCCCGAACTACCACCCATCATACCGACTAGACATTTTTGCCACCTTATTGAACTGATACTTAAGAACAGCTCGTTTATATTTGGCGACAGGGCGTTCCGCCAGAAATTTGGCACCTCCATGGGTGCCAGAATGGCACCGCCCTACGCCAACATATTCATGAGTACTTTTGACAAAACAATACACAACAAATTTAAAAACAGTATTTTACTGTACAAAAGATTCATCGACGACATACTGATCATATTCACGGGCACTACACAACAAACGGAAGAACTTACCACATACGCCAACACCCTACATAACGACATCAAATTTACATTCAACACCTCCAATGACAAGATCAACTTCATGGACATCACTCTACAAATAAACAAAAATAACAACACACTCACCTCAAAACTTTACAGAAAACCTACAGACACCCTGTCCCTCCTAAACTTTCACTCAAACCATCCCAGACACCAAAAAATAGGCATCATCTACAGTCAAGCACTACGACTCAACAGACTCATCTCCGATGAAGACGAACTAAACAAAGAACTCAAGAACCTTACAATTACACTCGTCACTAAAAACTACCCACTTAACGTCATTAACCACCACATCTCCAGAGCCTTACTTAAAACCCAAACGGAACTAATAACCCAATCGAAACCACTAAAATTACAAGACAACGATGACACCACATCCAATCAAATCCCCATCATACTCCCCAACGACAACATAGGGAGGGAACTAGCACAAATGATCACAAAACACTGGGCTATTATCAAAAACGACCCTGACCTAAACACAATACTGAAACCTGCACTACTTAAAGTACTATCCAACCACAAATCATTAAACGACCTACTTATATCTACAAGACACAAAGCTTAAACACACACAAAACTACAAACAAACGACCACTACCACCACCATCCAAGTACGACACAACCATGACTGCTCCCCATAACCTGACCAAGACACAATGAATGAGAGGAATACAACTGTACATGAAATGACAGAATAATACATCAACAGGAAAAATCTGAATATATTTACTTTGCGAATAAAGGTTTTTTAAAAAAAACATCAACTAGAAATACACCCACATAAAATACTTGTAAACATAATTTACTTGTAAATAGAAATACTTATACCAGACCATTGTATTTAGTTATAATAATACAGACACCTAAATCATACACATCTTCCTACCTCAATACATCCCCTAATAACACTAATGTTAATAATCCCCATAATCCCCTCCTTCATTAACAAATGATTACAAATCATTACAAAAATGATCACCACGACCAAACATAATAGAAACGAATATCCTAAATTATAAACGTAAATATGACTTAACTATTGATCCTGATATAAAAACATAACAGATGTTTTGAACACAATGAATACATTGCACATAAGAAATATAATCGGCTATCCAACTGTCTCTTCGACTCTAGGAAGGTGTATTAAACTAAATCTGCGATATCCCACCTATCTTACAAACAGATAAAACAACTAAGTTTATCGCGCGTGACAGCAGCTATTGTACTAAAAAACTAATACAAATACAACCTAAAGAAAAATTACTAAAAACTTCATAAATGAAAATACTAATAAAAACAATTTGATTCATTTTTAATTAGAAAAACTTTATTATTAACACTAACGCAAGTAAAACCTAAAGTATAATTATTTTGTTAAATCCATATATGAAAAAATTTGTTAGCAAATATGCTTCGCGCAGTTTAAACCTTTATCGCCTAAAAAACATTTATGCTGCTAACTAATTTTCAAAAAATCTAAAAAGTGTATATATTGTTAATGTAAATTCCAAGTATTGATTATTTAAGAACAAAGAATGACTTATTTATATTAATATCATTCTATTTTTATAAAAAAGAATGATGGAACAGACAGAGTGGGGTTGATCGGCAATAACAATTGTCGCTGACAGGTTAACGATTTAAGGAGGTCGGATTTCTGACTGGCCCTTCGCTAGCTGATTCAGTGACCCTTCTTCGTTGCTCTCCATCTCACAAGTCTAGTTTCATGATATTTTTGAAATTTAACGGTGATCCTGCATCGTTGAGGTATCAGCATAGAAGCCTAGTTGCCAATAAGTTAACGATTTGAGGAGGTCGGTTCTCCGACCTTCGTTGGCTGATGTGGCGACCCTCTCTCTATGTTTTTATCTTAACTTTCAAGATCCAGCTAAAACAATGAGCAGCCCAAACACATAAATATTTAACTCCAGCTGCACAATCAAATAAACTAAAAGAATTTTTAAAAAAATTCAAATGAAAAATGACGTAAAAAGTTAAAAATGAAACCTAACTTTTAAATAATTTTTTGTGAAAAAGCAACTTTATTATTAACACTAACGCAAGTAAAACCTAAAGTATAATTATTTTGTCAAATCCATATATGAAAAAATTTGTTAGCAAATATGCTTCGCGCAGTTTTAACCTTTATCGCCTAAAAAACATTTATGCTGCTAACTAATTTTCAAAAAATCTAAAAAGCGTATGTATTGTTAATGTAAATTCGAAGTATTGGTTATTTAAAAACAAAGAATTACTTATTTATATTAATATCATTCTATTTTTATAAAAAAGAATGATGGAACAGACAGAGTGGGGTTGATCGGCAATAACAATTGTCGCTGACAGGTTAACGATTTGAGGAGGTCGGATTTCGGACTGGCCCTTCGCTAGCTGATTCAGTGACCCTTCTTCGTTGCTCTCCATCTCACAAGTCTAGTTTCATGATATTCTTGAAATTTAACGGTGATCCTGCATCGTTGAGGTATCAGCATAGAAGCCTAGTTGCCAATAAGTTAACGATTTGAGGAGGTCGGTTCCCCGACTGACCCTTCGTTGGCTGATGTGGCGACCCTCTCTCGATGTTTTTATCTTAACTTTCAAGATCCAGCTAAAACAATGAGCAGCCCAAACACATAAATATTTAACTCCAGCTGCACAATCAAATAAACTAAAAGAATTTTTAAAAAAATTCAAATGAAAAATGACGTAAAAAGTTAAAAATGAAACCTAACTTTTAAATAATTTTTTGTGAAAAAGCAACTTTATTATTAACACTAACGCAAGTAAAACCTAAAGTATAATTATTTTGTCAAATCCATATATGAAAAAATTTGTTAGCAAATATGCTTCGCGCAGTTTTAACCTTTATCGCCTAAAAAACATTTATGCTGCTAACTAATTTTCAAAAAATCTAAAAAGCGTATGTATTGTTAATGTAAATTCGAAGTATTGGTTATTTAAAAACAAAGAATTACTTATTTATATTAATATCATTCTATTTTTATAAAAAAGAAAGATGGAACAGACAGAGTGGGGTTGATCGGCAATAACAATTGTCGCTGACAGGTTAACGATTTGAGGAGGTCGGATTTCTGACTGGCCCTTCGCTGGCTGATTCAGTGACCCTTCTTCGTTGCTCTCCATCTCACAAGTCTAGTTTCATGATATTTTTGAAATTTAACGGTGATCCTGCATCGTTGAGGTATCAGCATAGAAGCCTAGTTGCCAATAAGTTAACGATTTGAGGAGGTCGGTTCCCCGACTGACCCTTCGTTGGCTGATGTGGCGACCCTCTCTCGATGTTTTTATCTTAACTTTCAAGATCCAGCTAAAACAATGAGCAGCCCAAACACATAAATATTTAACACCAGCTGCACTATCAAATAAACTAAAAGAATTTTTAAAAAAAATTCAAATGAAAAATGACGTAAAAAGTTAAAAAAGAAACCTAACTTAAAAAATTTTTTGTAAAAAAGCAACTTTATTATTAACACTAACGCAAGTAAAACCTAAAGTATAATTATTTTGTTAAATCCATATATGAAAAAATTTGTTAGCAAATATGCTTCGCGCAGTTTTAACCTTCATCGCCTAAAAACATTTATGCTGCTAACTAATTTTCAAAAAATCTAAAAAGCGTATGTATCGTTAATGTAAATTCGAAGTGTTGGTTATTTAAAAACAAAGAATTATTTATTTATATTAATATCGTTCTATTTTTATAAAAAAGAATGATGGAACAGACAGAATGGGGTTGATCGGCAATAACAATTGTCGCTGATAGGTTAACGATTTGAGGAGGTCGGATTTCTGACTGGCCCTTCGCTAGCTGATTCAGTGACCCTTCTTCGTTGCCCTCCATCTCACAGGTCTAGTTTCTTGATATTCTTGAAATTTAAAGGTGATCCTGCATCGTTGAGGTATCAGCAAAGAAGCCTAGTTGCCAATAAGTTAACGATTTGAGAAGGTCGGTTCTCCGACTGACCCTTCGTTGGCTGATGTGGCGACCCTCTCTCGATGTTTTTATCTTAACTTTCAAGATCCAACCAAAACAATGAGCAGCCCAAACACGTAAATATTCAACACCAGCTACACTTCCAAATAAACTAAAAGATTTTTTTAAAAAAAATTTTAAAAGTGTTTATATCGTTAATTTAAATTCCAAGTATTGGTTGTTTAAAAACAAAGAATTATTTATTTTAATTAATAATATTCTATTTTTATAAAAAAGACTGATGAAAAAGACTGATGGAATAGACAGAGTAAGGCTGATCCCCGATGACACTTAGCACTGATAGGTTAACGATTTGAGGAGGATTGAGTTTTGATAATAAAATTTAAAAAAAGTGACTTCCGCGTCTTTAAACAATATATTAATTTGATTTTGGCGCCTATGTTTGGTTTATTTATTAGATTTTTGTATTATTTATTAGAATTTTTAAAAATACTTTTTCTTTACCTTTTACAATAACTACTACGCTGAGGATAGCCCATATAAATTCCTAATAGGCTAACCCGAGTGACTTAACCTAAGAAAAATGATTGCTCGCGTAACCTTTCTTTCATTACTTACCTTCCTTTTAAGAACCATCACGATTTAACATCAAAAAGGACATTGAGGAGAAGGGTTCGAAGACGACAAAATATTCAAGAGAGAATTGCAGCTAAGCGGAACTTAGAGGCATCTATAGATAGTGAGGGAACATTAGAAAAGGAGCAGAAAGTGGTCGAAGAACCACCAGTAAAAATAAATAAAGAAGATACAGAAGAAGTGGAAAATACATTAAGGTTCTTGGCCGATAATTTAGACGTTTTCACGAACAATATAATTGTAAAGTAAGGTACATTTAAATGATAAATATATACTTAAAAACATTAGTAACATAATTCCGAATCACCACCTATTGTAATACCAATGATTTCTTACCCCTATAACCCTTATCCCAACCGGAACACGTGACTTTATCCAGAATCTACGTGTAACCCAAACCCTAATTATCAATAATTATCACAACAATTATCATAAATATATTAAACATCTAAATCCCCCTTAGAACAACTGCTCTAAATATACCCACTAAGACATTGAATTACAGAGACAGCCAATTTCAATACTTGTCTCTAAAATAAAACCGATGACAATAACAAAAAATAATTCCCGCGGAAAATGATAGAAAAACTCACCTTGAGAATTACCTAACTCTTTTCGCGGAGACTAAAGAAGCTCTGACACGTAAATAGAACAATAGACCATTGAAAACTTACAACGATAGAACAATGGAATTTCTAAAAACAGAAGTTTTACATTTTTATGTGCACACGTTTCGTTCGTATCAGATATCTGCTAACAAGCGAAGAAAAAGCAACTTTGGCGTTCAGAAATATATTTTTTCACGTTTATTTAATAAAAAAATCTACATTAACGACAACACGAACAATGGCATCGAATAATTACATAAATATATACCCTACTACAACACCCAGCAACACGGTAAGAAAAACATTTCCTTTATCACATTTACATACTTAATAAGTCATACCATCACCACCCCACTATAATTTAGCGTTTACTTGAACATCACACGCCACTACAACTCACCATTGAAAGCACCCCATACTATTCTTACACATTATGCATATTTAGAATTTATTATAGAGTCCAAACACACCGGAAGACATATTCCTTACACAAGACGTGTTCCGAAATCAAGAAGTTCTCGCGACCGTAGATAAATTAGAATTAGAAATACTAAGGCACAGTACCACCCTGGAACCCGAAGACAAAAAAGAAGGAGACACAACACAAAAAGACGAAGAACTAAGTGACAGCCAAATGCTAGAAACGGTAGGTTTAGTTCAAACCTTTACACCAAAAACATCTTAAAAACTATTAATTATCCCCCTCATACCCAACCCCCTAGGGTCCGACTCCGTTATCTGAAAATTGTTGTGTTTATATATGTATGTACTTCATTTATGTATATCATTTGTGCGTGTTTGCATGCATATATGCATGCTTCTGTATATGCGGACATGTGGGGATGTATGTGTTTGCATGCATATATGCACACCCTACCCTGTTACCCTCCTAGTATGTATAGACCTCTGTTTTATACATGGTAGTGTTCATACAGATATATTTGTATGTGCATATACATGTGCACATACATTTATATTTGGATTCATACTCTTGCACCCAACCCCCTCTATTTCACTCTATTTCACTCCGTTACCTGATTTATCTGTTTTATGCATAGTTGTACTCACACAAGTATGTGTACTTGCGTGTGCATGTGTTTGCGTGTTTATATGCGCATATGCGTGTGCATGTATGTGGACGTGTGTTTATGCATTAGGTGTGTATACATGTATATGTAGAATTGTGTTCTTATATGGGTGTTTAGGCTGGTTTAGGCATACTTCTATGCCTAAACCAGCTCTCCCGTACCCAACCCCCTAAGATTCTAAATCAACTCTCACAGTATTATATAATTGCGTGAGAACATATTATAATGATCTACACTATTCTGTATGATCTTATAATGCTCGATACGCACACCAGATGAAATGGGAGACTCCTCGGGTATGAGTTCATCACATATCTAAACCTCACGTGGTAACTAAGCTGTAGGCCATGGAGTTGTTTTAGTACTTTAACTTCTTCGAAACAAGCTTAGACATTCCGACATGGCCCTGACGAGATGAAGGTTTGTCACATGCCACAACTTTCGACCATTATGATGACCTCAACCCCGAACTCCACTCGCGCAGCACCTTCCCCTCAACTTGTTTTACTTTTATACTACAATAATTTGTACTACTAATTTACTACTAATTTATTACCTCCAATTTACGATGGTAATCACTAAAGCTTTATAGCATACATACTATGCATATCGGATATATTATACACGATATATATAATATTCTAGATATACATAAGTCTCTCTATAAATAATATAAGAAACTTATTGGTTTACCTAACAAGCATCATACTGCCCCGAACCAACACCACTGAGCCAAACTGTGTTGCTATAATTGTACTGCACCCCGCACATAGTTCTTACAAAAATAGCAACAAACTCCACACTCTCATATGTTCTATCAACATATGTTAAAACATATCTTATAAAGTGCTTTTAACAAAGATTACGATCACAAAGAACATAATAACATCAAAATTAAATAAGACGGAAAATTAAAATATTTACGAAAATACAGATTCATACAAAGAAAGACATTAATTCACATATTAAACTTGAACATTTAGAACACCACAAACACAAAGCACAATAATTAACACAAACTTACAGAACACTGAAACAACACTTACTTAAACCTAACTTAAAGAACACTTACTTAACTCTAACTTAACTAGTGAATAATACTCCCCTCTTTAACACCACCTCTTAATACTGGACATCTGTCCAAATATTATAATTTATCTAGCACTCCCTTGCACTTATATAATATATTTCTTTCTTCTCTTAAGACTCTTACGGCCTGATGGTTCCATATCAGTGGTGGAACTTTAATAGCTTCCACTGCGAAACAATAGCAAAAAAAATCCTATATGTAACTACATCTGGTTAAAATAATGCATTATTGGTTAATTTTTTTTCCAGAAGTAATTACATCTGAAAAACAATCCCATATGTAAATACATCAGTTTTTGTTGCTCTTAATTTTTGTTGTGCAATATTTTTTTTTAAAGTAACACTTTCAAAATTTAAGTCACAAATGGAATATGTAAACAAATAATTAAGAACATTTTAAAATTAAAATAGATCATTAAAAGTTCTAAATTAAAAAAAAAAAAAAATGAGTTTATATAGCTTTGATGAGCTAATTAAAGTTTTAGTTGTAGATAATAAAAATATAGATAAAATTATTTATAAATACACTGGTCAACTAAGTTTTTTTTCAGCTGATATAATTATGTCTCTATTTAATTCAAGTATGCTTAATCCAAAAATCACATTAATTTTTATCCTATACGCCCCAATGTCATGGAATATTGGAAAAACACTTTTAGTGTAAATGCTGCTTTTCGTATAAAAAAATATAAAACATAACATGAATAAGATATGGTTACAAGTGTTTAGAATTGATGAGTGAGCTTGGACTGTTGTTTATGAGTCTCTTGAGTGTCTCTTTTTAAAAACCAACAATAATTGGCCATCATAGCTTCATTCCTTTTGCCTTGATACCTCTTCTCCATGGTCCAAATCTCTTGATGAAAACTTTTACCATGTTTATCCGAAACTGCACCTAAATTTTCTGGGAAAAAGTCAAGATGAGAATATAAGAAATGTAGCTTTAACGACATTCGACAACCCAGTTTTTGATTATGCTTCACAAGACTTTCTACCAGATTCTTGAAACCATCTGCCCTGTTGTTTTCCAGGAAGTTATGAACCATAGCTTTGAATGACTGCCAAGCATTGCATTCAGCTGGTGTAAAAGTTTCCTCAAATTTCCTATCTTTCAGGAGCTTTTGAGATTTGAGGCCCATCAAACACACCTTTGATCTTTTCCTCAAAAATGATTCGAGAGAACTTTATTTGGACTTAAAGCTAGCACCGTTTTTATTCATTGCTTTTATGAAACATTTTACCAAACCCAATTTGATATGCAAAGGAGGACGCACAATTTTCAGCCATTCAACAAGTGGAATGTGTTTAACATTGTGGTATCCTAGGCTATATATTCTGTATATTTGGGCCATATCTTCTTCACATAATTATTTTTAGTGCCTCGGCTATCCCAGAGGCAGAGGAAACACATATACTTAGTGAAACCTAATTGCAGTCCAAGCAACAGGGCAATTACTTTAAGGTCACTACAAGTAATCTACTTGTGATTGGCATAGCTAACACAATCAAGTACAGTTTTCATTATGCCGTAGATTTCCTGGAGTCCCACTGCATGAGCTATTGGAATAGAAGGATATTCCAATATGAATTAATACTGCCTTTAGAGAGTACTTTGAGGAGTCGATAATGAGACGCCATTGTCTCATTATCGACTCCTAATCGACTCCTAGTCTGTAGTTTCTGACTACCATTTCTGACTACCTATCTGTAGTTTCTGACTACCAAAGTAGTTTCTGACTACCATTCTCTCTTCATTGTATCTTTTTTCATAATATTGTGTAGAAAAAAAGTAAAATTGACGGGAAGGTACTTGATAAAGCTTGCTGTGCACTCAATGTACTTAAGGAAGGAACTGTAAAATATGTAATTTTTAGAAGCGATAAATAATCAAAAATTAAAAATTTTATATCTTACCAGGCTTCAAACAAAATATTTCAAATTTTACAATGAATCTTATTAAAATAGCTCCTCTTAAAATATTTTCATGTAAAATTAATACCTTATTTTTAATAAGGTTCTCCAACAACTTTAAATATTTTAAATATTTAAGGTTGTTGGAGATGTTATTTAAAACCTTGCTAATTGTTTGTTTTGCTTAACAAAGAAAATTTTTCAACTTAAATGCCTGTGCTTGAATTTAATGTTTTCAATGTTTGTACCTTATATTAAAATTAAAAGTGAGGGACATATTAAAAAGTTATTTATTATGAAAAATATCTTGGATTTCCTGATTTTTTTCCTACTATTTAGTGTGAATAATTTGTTAATAAATCAATTTTAAATAGTTTATTTGAAATATCTCACTCATTGCAAACTGAAAATATTATTTTAATCCGATTATTTAATGAAAAAAGCATAAGATTTATAAGATTTTATATTAAAAATTGATCAAAAAGAAATCAAAGTTTAGAACTTTTTATAACAATGTTATGAAAAGTTATTATGAAAAAGTTTATGAAAATTAGTTTTCAGTTTTTTTTCCTTTAATACTCTTCGTGTTTTTTCAAACAACAGCACTTTTTTATATCAAGTTAAAAAAATGAGCAATATTGCAGAGATTAAAATATAATCTTTTTTAAATTTTTTTTTAAAAATCGAGTAGCATCCCACCCTGCCAAACTGATAGTTATCTACAAGTAGAATTGTTTTAGACATAAAAAGTTTATATAAACAATGCGTATTAAATGTACTTTTTTACCTAACCTTGAAGTAAAATTTTCAGTAAACACAAACACACAAACAAACATTATGTACATATACTCTATTTTTACAAGTCAGAATCAGACAAATAATGCAGCTATGTTATATGTCTGACTCCTTTACTTAAATTAAAAAAATTATATATATGTAAATGAATGTATTAAATTTTAATTGGAACAAAAAAACCTATCAAACTT